GGGTATGCGGGCGGGTATGTGGTGCCTATTTTTTCCGCGCTCATGTTAACGGATTAATAAACCGCGCACACTGCACACCGTTGCTGTCCGGCAGTGCGTTCCACAAGCAGTGCGTCTGCAGCAGTGCAGAGATGGTTTCCGCACCGAGTCTATTTTTGCTGCGCTGCAAGCGCTGAATCGCAGAATCAAAGTAACAGCGCATTTTTGCAGTAAATATGAACATGGATTGACACGAAAATGTAGTAATTACACCATAAATGCATATTATTAAAGTCTACTGTGTTTCACAGTCAACACATATGGCTTTTTGGCTAGGTTTAAAGGGAAAGAGCACTTTTAGATAAACAAGGCAATAATAGATGGCAGGGATTGACACGAAAATTTAGTAATTACACCATAAATGCATATTATTAAAGTCTACTGTGTTTCACAGTCTACATATGGCTTTTTGGCTATTTTTAAAGGAAAAAAGCACTTTTAGATAAACAAGGCAATAATAGACGGTACTCGTGGAGGTAGGAAAACAAAGTTCTTTATGAACTGCAGGATTGCTTGTAATAAAGATTTCAATGCAAAAGAAAAGGCAGTAGAGCTGACATTTTCTGTCAATGGTAAGTTTGTGATAATGTAAGAAAAGTAGTTTAAATGTTTTGCCACTTGCTTGAGCAACTTAATATATAAATCTAAAGTAAATGCAAAAGTAAAAAGCATTGAATAATGTGTTGCTTATATTTATTGTGTTTAAACATGTCTGTGAAAGATTGTATTACTGTACTGTAAAAGAAAAGAATTGCAATGCTGAAAAAGCATGGATAATGGATAAATGTTGTGTTTGTGGTAAACAGCCATGGATCAGTAGCGGACTGCTCTGTGAAAGCTGCTTCTTCTCTCACAAGAGACACCTAAGAGGGGAATTCCCCCCATTTTCAAAAATGAAATTCAGGCCCTGAATAAATGTCTAAAAATCCTGATTGGAGTATCACTATAAATAGTTATAAATGATAAAAAAGAAGGCTTTAAAAAGATTGGTATCGGTGATCGGTATCGGCAGATACTGCTTTCTGTGATCGCGATCGGCCTCAAAAATCCTGATCGGAGCACCCCTAATTAAAACACCATGTGACCAGCATCATACAATGTTTTCTTCTTCTGTGGTGGACATTTTTAACACATTAATGTAAGCATTCTCTCAGTCCTCTTTTTCCTCAATATTTTATCTACAATAACATATTGCCAAGGAGTATATTAGTTGACCATCAGCTATTATGGGTACATTGTCATGGTTTGCAATATTTTTATGAATTCAATTCAAATGCATATTCAAATTTGAGGTTAACCTGATTGAGAAAATAACACGTGATTGGCAAAACAATGTGAGTGTGTGAGGGGGCTCACAATGTGTGCAATATTTAATGTGTCCAATCAACTGTTACTATTATTATTATCATCATCATTATTATTAACAATTTTTTTTTTTAATAACTGCAACGGTCCTTCCATTGTCAGAGCATTTCAGTCTATATTTTACATCCACATGGGTTGAAGTTTTGCATAACATCTCCTAAAATGAACACAATTATATTTAAGGAAGATTTATAATAATAAAAAATAATAAAATAAAATAATATAAAATAAATCCTGCATGACCGTTTTGAGTATACCACATGGACATTTGCAAAGAAAATACAATTCTTACAGTTATATATATATATATATATATTAGTGCTGTCAAACGATTAACCACGATTAATCGCATCCAAAATAAAAGTTTATGTCTACATTAGGGCTGCACGATAAATTCCATGCGATATTTAACGCGCATCTTGTCAGTATTTATCGTGCAGCCCTAGTCTACATATTATATATGTGTGTACTGTATATATTTATGTATGTATGTATAAAAACACACGCATACTGCTTTTTATTTTATTTTATTTATTTTTTACCACAACACCTCATTATTGTTTTCCTTCATCATTTGATTTTGTAATGAAATATGAACGGACGTGTTTTCGTGTGAATCATCCAAATACAATTTTAGGTATTTTGTAGTAAATGGCCATATATGGATAAAGGTGGATGAACGTGTATGGCCTTTAGACGGGAATCCTTGCCGGAAGACGAGATTATTACAACGTATCAAGGATCTCATTGACAACTTCAGTAGTCCTCAAAAATAAGAATGTTTGTATTGTATCGCGTGACGTCTCACCTTCAGGGAGTTCCACAGTCCTCGCGCGGCGCAGGGAGCGCGTCAGTCGATTCAGCTGTACATTCAAATGCTCCATCGCCCGTTCCATCATATGAGATGTCCAGCACAGAAATCAGCTCATGGAACACGTATGCCCTCTCTCTCTCTCGCTCCCTCTCTCTGAAAAGCCAAAGTCTCGATCTCTTCCATCTGCTGTTGGCTGATGCGCTGTGTTCACGACTCATTCCACAACACAATATCCCTCCATCGCTCTCTGATTCATTTTGGGAAAATATTTCCTCATGGTGTCTTTCTTCCTGTTTTCATTGCAATGCAGTATGGGAAATGTAGTCTTGGGACAGATACACGTGCAGATGTAAGCCGGGTCCATGACGTGACGCCATCCAATAAATTGGTGGTCATGACCTTTAAACTATTCAAAGCGTATTTTAAGGTATTTCTTTCTAGCCTAATTGTTATAAATTATTTCATATTTACAACTAAAATGTATTTAAATACTAACGGGGAAATGTTTTAATTAGCATATTCATTACAAAAATAAAATAATTATGCACATGTACGCTTCCATTATTCCCACAGATTTTTTTTGACTACTTAAAGAAGATTATCTCAAAATATGTTGCTTAACAATATTAGCTTGGTGTAGTAAAATAAGTAAATAGGCAAGGCAAGGCAAGGCAAGTTTATTTATATAGCACATTTCATACACAATGGTAATTGAAAGTGCTTTACATAAAAGCAAATAAAATAATCATAAAAAATAATCACAGCAATAAAACAAGGAATTTAAAAACTTTTAAAATGATGTAAAAATTGATTTCAAATTAATTTAAAACAGTTAAAAATAGAAAATAATTATATATAAAATACAGTGCAATCAGTTCGGACGTAGCACAGTGTAGGGTAATATGTAAAAGTAAAATTAGTTGAATGTGTGTGTGTGTGTGTGTGTGTGTGTGTGTACCTGGTATTTATCACGTTATGGGGACCAAATGTCCCCACAAGGATAGTAATACCAGTAAATTTTGGCCTTGTGGGGATATTTTTTAGGTCCCAATGAGGAAACAAGCTTATAAATCATACAGAATGAAGTTTTTTTGAAAATCTGAAAATGCAGAAAGTTTCCTGTGATGGGTAGGTTTAGGTATAGGGTTGGTGTAGAGTGATAGAAAATACAGTTTGTACAGTATAAAAACCATTACTCCTATAGAATGTCCCCATAAAACATGGAAACACAACGTGTGTGTGCGTGCGTGCGTGCGTGCGTGTGTGTGTGTGTGTGTGTGTGTGAGTATACCAGTCTGGACAGTTTAAAAGTCGCAAAGTCCTGGTCAGACCTGTATGCACATGCCGATGCAGGTGTCATAGTCCCATATTTGATTTCAATTGTCATTCAATGTGCTCTGATTTCAGAGTAACAGTTATTTAAAGAGGTGTCAAGACATTTCCTACCACAGGTGGAATCAGGGGCGTTGCTAGGTTGGGAGAGATTAAGGGTTTAGCCCCGCCCCCATACATTCATACATACTGAGACTCATGTGACCACATCTCTGATGCTTTATCTGAAATTAAAGTCATTTATTTGTTTACATTACATGTGGATAAATGACCATGACATTCACAATTCTGCATACATTGTGAATGGAGAATCACTATTTTATTATTTATTTATTTTATTTTATTTTATTTTATTTTATTTTATTTTATTTTATTTTATTTTATTTTATTTTATTTTATTTTATTTTATTTTATTTTATTTTATTTTATTTTATTTTATTTTATTTTATTTTATTTTATTTTATTTTATTTTATAGATATCATGGTATGGATACCGTGATTCTGAAAAAAAAAAAAAAAACAACTAAACAAAATAGCATGTAGCCTAATTTACAAAATGCTGTATGCAATGTAATTTTACAAAATGCTAATCGCTGCAATCTATTTATAAAATATATTCAATATTCAACAAATTGTTAAAAAAAATAAATAAATAAAATAAGTCAGGTTGAATGAATGATTCAATGGCTCGGTCATTTCTTTCCTCAGGCAGTCCATCTCATGAACAGTTAACTTGGCAATAAACGTGTAATATACAACACTATTAATACATTTATTTAACACACGGGCCTACCTCTTGTTATATTTCTTTGCATTTGTACATAACACACCTGTACACATACCATGTATTGTCTACTTTATTTATTTATTTGTTTGTTTGTTTATTTATTTATTTCTTTTTTGTAGATTGTTATTTCTTATTTATTTATCATATTCTTATTATTTGTTATTATCTGTCTTGTCACTGTTGTTCTGTTTGTGCTGTGGAAGCTTCTGTCACCAAAACAAACTCCTCGTATATGTAAACATAGCCTACCTGGCAATAAAGAACTTTCTGATTCTGAAAGACTTTTATTTCATTCATGAATCAATCAAGTTTTTTTTGAATGAATCTCTTTTTTAACAGCCACTTGTCGCCACCTGCTGGCGTTACGTTTTTACTTTCAAAAAAGTGATTTACTGTATTTTGAGTAGGGATGGGCGATACCACTTATTTTGTTTTCGATACGATACCGATATTTTTCAAGGCAGTATCGTCGATATCGATACCGATTCGATACTTCTGAACTAAACTTTTAAATTATGAAATTTATGCATATTGTACGCATTATTTTTTTTGTTGTTAAATAAACAATCACTGGTAAATAAAAAACACCTTAGTATCGATATTTTTTGTTTGAGTATCGATACTTTCGATACTCGCATCAGTATCGATATATCGATACTTCGGATCGATACGCCCATCCCTAATTTTGAGCACTACCATAGACCACGTGGTTCCCAAACTTTTTGAAAGCATGGCACCTCTTTGTAGTGTTTTTTTTTTTTAACGGCACCCCAACCCAATTAAACTAAACGTACATGTGTACATACATATATGAAATTAAATCCAGATGAGCAAACAACAAATGAAGCATAAACAGCAGCATGAATTTAATATGAATGCATCACAAGAAACATAATATGAGGTGAAACAACCTTAATTATACGTGTTCAAAATGTACAAAAACGCCAGTCATTTTCAAAAAGCTTCCCAATTTTTGTACACCGGCACAATTGGCATTTTTTCTCTGGTCCAGCACGATCAAAAAAAAAAAAAAAAATAAATTGCGCGGGACCCCGCCCCGGCACAATTGGCATTTTTTCTCTGGTCCAGCACGATCAAAAAAAAAAAAAAAGCTCAATTGCCCGGGAACCCGCCCAATCTGGCAACACTGTATAATTCTTAGGATGCGCGTGAAAGCATAGTGTATATTATTACGTCACAAGCGAGAATTCCTACAAGCGCGCTTGCTTTTAGTTGACTGAGAATCCGTCAAGTAGCGAAGACGGTCAATCACCTGAGCAGATTCGCAGTCTATCAACATACAGAACATATCATTTTCATACAAAAACGGGCTGGAGTCAGTGGAGCTGAATTCCAGCAGTTCAGTGTCTGCAGATGCTCAGCTGATGTTGAGTAACTCTACACAGACGTCTGGAACACTACTGACCCAAGAGACGCTGGACAGAACAGCCCAGCAGGTATCTTTCTTTTTTTCTTTTTCTTTTTTTTTTAGTTAAGCCAGTGTGGAACCTTTAGCAAAAGTACTCACGGAAATATACTGTAAAAGCAGGGCTCAACATTCATTTTCATATTTATAACATATGGTATGCATATGTTTTCCCGAATAGCAGTAGGATTGCAAATGTGACATCGATTTTATACGTTCAATAAACAAGTAGTTAATACCGCTTACTACATTTTAGACACTATTTGACAGATGAAAAATCTATTCCAAACAAAAATCACAGCAGAGCAGAATTTATTGATACAGTTTAAGAATTTGACATAAAAGATGACACATAGGCCTACATTTAGTGGTTAAGGGGGGAACCCCTGGAAATCAGTTTAAGTGGGGAAATATGCTTATTTAAGTAAGAGCTGTTGGAACACTGATGAGAATATTACTACAGAATAAATTACGAAATAAAAAAATAAAAATAAAAATAAACGTTTCTTCCAGACAAGTAACCTTTTTACCTGAACAATTGAATGACCGATTATGACAATCAAATGTCAAGGCTTAATATTGAGCCCTACTGTAAAATAATACAGCTGAATGTAATGTTTCCTCAATTGCATGATATTTGCAATAAAAGTCTATATTTATTTTTATTATGAACTTTTTTCAACCCACTTAGGACTTAAGTACATCTTTATACTGCATGTCATTTCGTAATTATTTCTATGTCTTTGAAATATGGTAAAAATGCACTGACAGAATTTATGATAAACTAAAATGTTAATGTCAATTCTATTGAAACTTGTGTAGCATGTATTTAAATATTTGGTAATTACAGATTTGTGATGAGGTTATAATTCAGTGCATTTAAGATATATTACCTTTTAATTTAATTTCAAATAACAAACAATACTTAAAATTACATGTACATAAAATGTATATAAAATTCTGTGTACTTGTTTCTTCATGAGGGCTAACCTCAATATTTCACTTATGATCTCTGGTGATAATTTCAATTGTCTTCTATGCCACTTTCTAGAAAAGCAAACCAAAATGAGGAAGAAGAGAGGCATGTGTGCATTCTTCCGGCAAACATGGAGGGCTGTAAAGCGTACGGTCATGTATTGCTACAGGGGCAACAAAGTAGACCCAGAGCCATTCAGCATCAAGCCAGTGGCTCAGCAAGATCCAGCTGATCCTCAGCCAGGTCCATCCGGGCTCGGTTTAGAGTTAACGACTGACCCTGGCCCATCTGGTCTCAAGTCTGAGTTAACAGCTGTCCCAAGTGTCGAGATGACACGTACCACCGATCCAGCTGATCCTGAGCCTTCCTCTGTCTCGGGTCCATCCAGTCTCCAGCTGACACCTGACAGTGATCCAACCAGTCCTGATCCATTACCTGGACCAGCTCCATCAAGCCTTGAGCCAATGGCTTCGCAAGATCTGGCTGATCCCCAGCTAGGTGCATCCAATCTTGAGCTGACACCTCATACCGATCTGGTTGATTCTCAGCCGGTGAATGTCTCACGTCAGTCCAATCTTGAGCTGACACCTGATCCCAAGCCAGAACCTGTCCCAGGTCCGTCTGGCCTTCATGCGGAGTTAACATCACTTCCGGGTCCAGCTGTCGGTGAGTCTTTTGTGATTATTATTACTCTGTCCTATAGTTATTGTGTGTGTGTGTTTTGTTTGTTTCTTTCAGTTTTCACTTATTTTGACTTTTCTCCAGCTGTTTCACATTTGTGAC